GCGCCTCGCGCCCACGGAGCCGAGCTTCCTTCCCTGTACACCAGCGGCACGTCCCGAAGAACAGCCACCGAATTACGATGGGCGCTTCGGCCGCGTCCCTGGGGCGGCGTCTCGCGCCCCCGCGTTTCGGGTACGCACACCCTGGCTCCCCACGAAAGACTGCTTCAGCTCCGAGTTCAGGTAGGTTGGTCTGAGCAGACGAGACAAACGCTAACGAGGTTCCTCGCGCTGGCGGATCAGAGGCCGGAGGGAGCCGCGAACGGCCCTGCTCCAGGCCCTCAGTCCTGAATTACGTTTCTACCACGTATTTCACTTCCCAGCTGCGGTGTTTGCAACCACAAAATACAAACCAACCTAGTTTAAAAGAATACTCTAGCGATGTTTGGGAACTTCATGTTAAGCAAGATCATATAACTATTTATAAACTATTAAAATCATGATTTGTAATACAGCCAATTCTAATTCAGTCGGCTCAAGAGTGACCATGAAAAAAAACAGCTTGGAAAAGAAACTAGAGGCCGTTGTGAAATACTGAAAGACAGATGACTGAGGAAAAAACACAGGGGAGCCAAACCTGAACCCAGCAGAGAGACATCCTGGCGGAGCACGCTCCTCCCTGCTGAGCGGGGAGGGAGATCAGGTCAAATACTGAAGTCGCATGGTGTAAATACACCCGTTAGACCCACACGTAACGGTCACATACCTGTGCACGTTCTGCCTGGGGTTGCTAATTAGTTATACATTAGTCTTTCTTTTCAATATTCGCTCTACACATCTCCTGCTACTGTCAAAAACAAACACGGTGCCGGACAGAAGGAGCAAACACCATGTGATGATTTATAAACACCCAAGCACACAGGACAGATTAGGAAGTCACAAAATAGGACTGTCTTACCAAACAACAGATTCTTTTTGAAAATAGGTATTAAAATGCTTTGAAGTCCCACTATGGCACCAATTGCTGTTGATGGATATGAGCCCATGGAATTTGATCCCAGCCCTATGAAATTTGTGTAAATACTTACTTTCGCACAAAGAAGCTGCTGTCATCCTAAGTCACACACATGAGACCAAGGACCAAAATTTGGGTCCACCACAAAAGGTTAAGATTATGAGAATGATGTTTTATACTGCTAGAGAGGTAGCGTAATAATTTTACAAGTTCATTACAGAAAGCCAAAGACTACTTTGATCATTTGAACTCTAAAATGGTGAGGAAGAAAAGGACAGTTCACAAACTCTTTAAAAAAAAAAAAAAGGCTATGTCATTACATATACATCCTGTAATGGAGACTCTAGCTGGCTAAAATTAGAGCAAAAAAAAATTTTAATGAATATTCATTTGCTTTGTGCATGCCAAAAATCAGCTTGTTTAAAAAAGAAATTGTAGCTAACAATTCTTAGTAGATGAGGTACAGGGACTGCAGTTTATCTGTATGCACATATATACGGATATGGCTGTATATCACTGTTTGTTATATATTTCATAAATGTTAACTTAAGGTTGTAGGAATAGACGAAGACTTCTTGGACCGTTGCAAGTAATCCATGCTACTGGCTGCATCACAGCATGTAAGTTATTCTCATAAATACACTGACTTCCATCTTAAAACAATTACAGTACTACTATTTTTTTTTAAGCCGCCTTGCTCCAAGAGGTTTGCTGCAGAACCTTTCTGATCTAATTGTTAGGGATCATCTCCAAATTGATGACCTAAACATATTCACAGCTCACATCGCCCTCCCTTTTTGTTGCCGTTATTTTTTAGCTTAAGTAGCCCTTTTGGTGCCCAGATGTGCTCACAGACACTGGTGGTATCCTCTCCCAGCCTCCACCCTGCTAGATAGAGTAAGCCACGTTTATCAAGTCTCATATCCCAGATCAGCAGTTTAACAGCATCGCGGAAGACGAGCTCTTCGGCACGGCTGACCCCAGCAGTGCTGCAGGATTGGGCGCCCAACACTGGGGTTGCACTGCAGCGCACGCTGCACTGCACCGTCACCGTTCTGCACAGTATTAGACCCGTCCACGGCATGTGAAAATGCACATTTCTTACGAACTGCAGGTACACTCCCTTCCGTCACTGCCGGGCGCGCGCAGGCCTGGGGAACGCGAGTCAGCACCCTCGGCGGCCACGCTGCCTGCCCTCCCGCCTCCCACCCCGCGCTCGCTCGCAAACACGGCCAAATCACAACAGGTTGTACGGGCGTTTAAACTGCTGCAGACAGAAGACGACAAAGCCATACGTTTAACCTTGCCTTGATCTCTGACCAATAATTACAACCCACCTGTGTGGCTCTAGCAATGGAAGGAGATAATTTCCTTTCCCTGTTTCTAGCCTTAATAATGGAAAGGTGGCGAGGGGATCTGTAGACTGGACAGCGTTGTTATTCCAAGCTCCATTAACGTACACCACTTGCAGCCGGAGCTGCCGCTCTCCAGTACTCCCAACGCACTGCAGAAGATCCGATCGTAACGGAGCGCTCCCAGCCTTCGCGCTGGGGCCAGCTGGACCTCTCGGACACCGCTTGGTCACCCCGGCCAGCGTGCAGGAGGATCAAACAATCCAATACGTGTGGCCACTGCTCTCCAGGCCACACAAAAAAAACTTCTCTGCTTTCCTCTTCTGAGAGATCACCTCCCTCTGACGCCGGGGAACTTCTGACAGATTAAGATCCACCAGATCTGACTCAGAGTTACAGTTGCCCTGTTGCTTCCAAAACTTTGTTAAGAGATTGCTAACACTCCCTACTCCCCATGTGATTATCTCAAAACAGAAAAATCTCAAAATAACAGGGTTTTAGACCCTCATACATCACAAGCCACCCAGAAAGACCTCTCCGTATGTCTGGAGAGGTGAAGCAATGGCTCAAGTCCAAAACCCGCCAGCAGGATCAAGAGGACAGAAGGCTCTGAACAAGGAGGTCTTTTTAGCCAGTACAGGTTTTGGGCTAAATTTTACTAGGATTCTTCCGCTTCATGCCAGGTCAGGGGCTGACACTAGCCATAAAACTAGTAAAATTGGTCAAATTAGGTTGCATTTGGGACTGCTGTGTAGTAGGGGAGTATCAGTGATTGTTGAGTTTTATCTGAATTATTTTTCCTCCTTTATCCATTTTAATGAAATATAGGAACTGATGAACAAAACTACTTTAAAAAAAGCAATTTCCCTGCAAAGCATGTTTTCCTACTCTCAACAAGCTCTGTGCTTATCATACTGAGCTTTAATTAACCAGGATGTTTTAGTCAGAAAAAATAAGCTATCGTGCCATTAAAAAAACATGTTGACGTTCACTCCACGTACATTTTTTTCTTATTTTGTATTCAATAGTAGCATATTAGAAATAGAAAGATGCATGCAATTCCCTCAAGCTTTCAGTTTTCTTCAGAAAGTTAAAGCTATGATGAGTCATAAGCAAGCAAAAAACCCCAAAACAAAACAGATGCTGCATTCAAAAGAGGAGTTTAAAACTTGAACTTTTCAAAGTAAACAACTATCACAATAAGCAAGTTGGAATCAAGTCTCTCCATTAAATTGCAGCTACGTTTTGCCCAGTGGCACATCTCGATTCAGGTTACCCAGAGAGCCCAGGCTGATCCCGACTGCTCTGCTGCTAGTGTTACTGGCCACGTTCCCTACAAACCAAACCTCCAGATGCACGTGACTACAAACGTTTGCTCCAGCAGCACAAAACCAAAAGTTAGTTTTGCTAGATTTGGTGCTTTCTGGGGAGGAAGCGGGGGGAGCGAGGGAAGCATTTTGCCATGCATCTTCCACAGGGGGAAGAAGTGGGCATCTCAGTTCAAAAATCTATTTACCCGTTAAGTATGCTTGCACTCTCTATACACGAGGAGGAGCAAAAAAAAAGCTAAACCTGACCAGGAACAGAGGACATAACAGCAGATGAAATGGTTTTGCTTCCTGGAAACCATCTGAAAAAAAAAAAATAAAATCTTTAAAGCCATATTAAAAAGCATTAACGTCATCACCAGCCTTCATATGCAATTCAGCCATCCTGCGCTGCTTTATTAATTTTCCATTAAACTCATTTCTACTGAAACCCATTATTCATTGCCAAGACGAACCTATTACTCTACTACGGAAACATTAACCTCCGTAAAATAATTAAAAGATGGATTTTCAACATGAGACCCTGTGTGTCACCTCTCTGGATCCTAATGTGTCTTTCAGCGGCCTAGAATA